GCCTGGGCCTGGCCCTCTGCTCTGCGGTGGGCTGGCCAGCAGTGGTCACAGGCCGCCCTGGCCCGGCTCCCTGCTCCCTGCTCCCAGCAGTGCCCACCCTGGGTGGCCTCAGGCCCCCGCAGCCACTCGCTTTCCTCTGTGTTTTGCAGTCTGGCCCTGTGTCCCTGCTGCGCTCCCTCGCTCTCTGCAGCCCCCGTCCCAGCGGAAACTCTGTGGGGCCTGCCCTGACCCCCCCCCACTCCCCACCCCGGAGCCCCTCTGGCTCATCTGTCCACCGGGACAGAGGCTGTGGTCCCCGTGCAGAGCCGAGCCTTCTGCAGGCTCCATGCATGAAGGAGGGGAGGGAGGGAGAGAGGAGGAACAAGTGGATGAATGAGTGAGTAAAGGAAGAAACGAATGAGTGAGTGAATGAATGAGTGAGTGAGTGAATGAATGAATGAACGAATAAGTGAAACAAGTGAAGCTTGGAAGGAGCTGGGCTCCAGCTGCCACCAGGAGTGGGATGGCCGGGGGAGGCGGCCTGAGGGTGGCATCCGTGCCAGGGGGGCTCTGTGTGTGCACAGGGCTGTGGACGGACGTGCTGGGCTGGCTGTGAGGAGGGCAGGAGCTGGGGGAGCTCCGAGAGGGCTCCCCATATGGGGAGGTGCGGACAGAGCCTGGCCTATGGGCGCCTGGGGATGGGGGTGTGCGGGACCTCGCGCTGAGGCGGCCCTTGGAGGAGGTGGGCAGGCTGGGCTCGGCCTCCTCTGGAGGAGGGTGGGGGCGGGGAATGGTTCTAACGGAGATTCAAGAGGTCGGACAAGTCTGGGGACCACGTGCCCGCGGCGGCAGGAAGTGGCCTAGAGGGCAGACGAGGGCTCCCCGGTTTCAGCCCGTGCTTTCTGGTGGGTGCGGGCCCCAGGGGCAGCTGGTGGGTGTGAGGTCCTGGGGATCATTGGGGGTCCCAGGACAGCGCTGGTGGTGACGGGGCTCAGGGCAGGAGCAGGAGTGCGAATGAGGGAGGGAGCCCAGGAGGGCCAGCCTTGGGCGTCCAGAGGCAGTGGGTGTGGTTGGCTGTGGCAGATGCCCACGGCAGGGAGGGGGGCCAGCTGGGGTGGTGCTGGGCCTGGGGGTCAGCAGGAGGCTGCCAAGTGGTGGGAGCGGCCTGGGTGGTGGTGGGAGCGGCCTGGGTGGTGGGAGCAGCGAGCGGCCTGGGAGGTGGGAACGGCCTGGGTGGGCCTGGGTCCTTGGTGGTGGGTGGGTCCCCAGCACAGACAGACTGCAGGGGCTGGAGTCTGGCCTCTGCACTGCAGGGTCCCTTGGGTGGCCTGTGGCCCCCCGGCCTGGGTGGCTCCAGGGTCCGATGGGGCTGAGTGGGATGGATGGGGAACCGCAGAGGTACCCCGCGGGGAGGCCAAGTCCCGCCCCTCCTGGGAGGCTTGTGCCTGTGAGTGACAAGGCTGTGGTTACCTCTGCAGAGGGGCGGGTCCAGGGGTGGCGCAGTGATGTCACCCCTTCGCATAGCCTGGGGCGTGAGGACCAGATGGTCCTGGGAGTGGGTGGGGCGGTGACCAGGGCTGAGCCGCACCAGGGGTCCCTGGGCCGCGTTCTCCCCGGCGGTGCAGCCCAGGCCCTCGCTGCCTCCTCCT